TGTTGTGGTCATACAAATTACATGAGATGTTCGACATGATTGAAGTGCATCCTCTTGGATGTAATATTAAAATTTATCTTTTGCTGTATTGGATACAACCATGTTCAATCAATCCAGAAGGAAAAAGATCAACGGTCCTGGCTACTGGCAGATGAGTGTAGAGACTTCTTTTGTTTGTGTGTCTCAAGGCGTTTAGACTGGGAGCTCTCAGAGTAGAAACCTAAATATAGAAATAGTTAGGATTTATCTTCATGAGTTTTATTAATCTTACTGGGCACAACCACTAGTGATCGCTTAACTTGAGGGCCTGTGGTCTGGCCAATCAGACGTTCTAGCCGTGTCGAGTTGCCTGGTGGCCGACGATGGAGAACGGTGGCCGTAAGGCGGGGATGTAGTTAGAAAATGTCTCCATCGAGATAGACGAAATGTCTCCTTGTGTCTTCACCGCTACTTTTGAAATTAACGAGGGCCCCGAGGTGTTCAAATTTATTAAATTTGGTATTCACTGATACTCTGGGATGATAAGGGAACGTCATTTAATAACAGGGAACTTTTTTGTAGATCGCGAACTTCATAAAAGCTCAGGAAACGTAGTAGAGTAAAAGTTCACGATACTTTCTAGAAGGGCAGCAAACTTCAGTGAGCTTTGTAGAAATCCAGAAAAGTATGTAGAAGTTCAGCGAAATTTGTAAAAGTTCATTGAACTTTTTCGAACTTCATTGAACTTTGTAGAAATTTAACCGTTACCCCGGTACCCAGCTCACGTGTGACTAGCACGGTTCAAATATCCATTAGCTTACATTTTGGAATTTTTCATTGTTATTACTGTTGTTTTTGCATCAGTGGATGGAAAACTAACACAACATGCATGAGCTTGCACTCAGCATTCCTTGGAACTCTGTTCAGAATTAGTTTGAAATTATTTTTAGAATAACCAACTACAAAACAAGGCCATGCTGGAGATGGCTGGGGCTCCCGGTCCAATCTAGGAATTTGTCGGGTTGGAAAATTTCTCGACTTTGCTGGGCATAGAGTATGAAGTGCATCCTCTTCATTGTACTATTGCCATACAATAATACTAATGCAAAAATGGTACAGGCATCGAAAGCTCTCAATTAATAACTGTGAAAGTGCATTTATTACACTATATAGAGAGCCGGCAATAATCTATTATGAAATAATCAATAAGCTTGAAATGCTAAGAAGAAGAAATATTCGTTAGAAATTTCAAAATTGTGGTAGAATATTCCCCAGATCAACCAAAAATTAAACTCTGAACCCTTTTTAAACTCCCCAGGAGTTTTTCTCACAACCACCCTGGAACTCTTCCTACATTTGACTTGGAATTCTAGTCAAAACTCTCTTAGAATTCTTTTAAAACCCACTTTGGGGTTTTCCCTAAAATTCCTTGGTGTTATCCCTTGAATTAATTCTAAAATCTCTTTAGAAGTCCTCTCGAATTTTCAAAAAAATTCTCTTAATAGCTTTTTAGACTGTATCTTGGAAATCTACAGTCTAAGAATCATGAATGTTTTCAAAGGTGAAGAATATTATTTTTGACGTAGGACTACGTCTTAATTTGTATACTGGGGGTCACATTAAAAAAATCAAAATTCAGACATGTAACGAAAAATCCCAAACACGGACGTAACGATAGAGCGCAAATCTAACACACGCATTGCGCATGCTCACATGAGCGAGTTCACCACTCGGTTGACCACTCACCATTTCACCAATGCATGGAAGGGAGGAGAAAAGCATAGGTAATAAAAACGCTTGCAAAATTGTTTTCTTCGTCATTTACTTTCGAGCAACGGACGGACACGACGTATGAGTGGAACAGCACGCATCGCACCGATACGAAGATGACGACGAATGCACTCACATCGACCGAAGGAAAGGCTTCCCGCAATAGGCAGCATGACTGGATAGCCGTCATCCGGTGGCATCGACTTGCGCTGGTGTGAAAGAGTCAAGTAGCGCTAGTTGTTCTTTCACAACAATCCAGTCCAATGCTGGTCGGAGCACGTCTTGGTCTGGTGTGAATGCTGCCATATACTTGTAACTAGGAACGCTCAGACGAATAATGCTCCAAAAGGGAGGGGCCTAATTAGCTATTCTGCAAGTATAAAACAGACTATAATTCAGTGAACGTGATCTGTTGCAATTGCATTAGCTGTGGAGACAGTCGTCACAACTAATTTGAAAGACCTAGAAAGTGGACGCGGACATCGGATCGGAATGAGAAGCATTACGGCAACGACCTCCTTCGAACGTTACACAGCTGAGTTTGACTACAATGATCACCTGCGTAATGCTGCTGCCAGGAAAGCCAACTGAGCACGCTGTCTCTGGAGATACCCAAGTACACTAGTTTGTTCGCTTTGATCCAAAATGGCAGTTTCATTTGCGACGGAGATGGTCACCACAAATTTCGTAGGACCCTGAAGGACGCGGACATCGGAGGCTCTCTGAATACCTTCACCATCTTTCGGACGTTCCACTGCTGCCGTTCCGTTAGGCTGACTACAACGCTGTGCAATGGTGTAAACATGCCATCCCGAAAATAGCAGCATGTAAATCTCTTGGGCCACCAATTCAAATACAGAAGGAGTTAAGATAATAGATTTTCGAATAATTAAAAGAACTAAGAGCAAACACATTTGTTCCGACCACTCACGGCTTTTGCGCTACATATTCCAGATCTTATCGATCGGCCTTTACTTACTGATATAGGTAAGTAGTAATATCAGAATTTAATGTCACAAACAAACTTATAAAATTACAGACATCAATAATCACTATTTTTCATCATCTACACGGTAGCCGTCCCAAACGTTCAAAAAGACACCAGAAAAAAAAACAAATAACGGCCATTTTCAGGGCCACCATTCGAAAAACAACCGGCCCTTTTCAGGGCCACCAATTCAAAAACGGAAAGAGTTAATATAATAGATTATCGATCAATTAAAAGAACTAAAGGCTCAACATATTTGTTCCGTCCACTAGCGGTCCTACGGCAAGCTTCCGTTCGCGCCCCTAGGCACAGACCCTTCTACTTTTTTTCTGGAGAGACGATGAAGTTTAGTTTTGCCGATTTGTCATCGAAATTCAGAGACTTTTTCTCGGATTTCTGAATTCCAGGCTATTTCCCGGATTTCTCAGTTTCTAGGTTTACTTGTATATAAATAGATAAATGTTATCATGGTTTCTATTATACTTTAAGATAAATTTCTAATTTTGAACAGTTTTCTAAGACTAGAATCTTGAAATTTATTCTCATTTGAAGTCTCATTATCTTAGGATTTTTTTGTAAATCCTTGATCTAGTATTTCTGTGCACGAATCTTGAGAAATTTTCAATGTTTGAATTTATTAAATTATTTCTTAGGAACCCATCTTAGATTATCTTTGCAAATTTATCATGGATTTGCTTAGGATTATTCCAAAAAAAGTCTTCAAAATAACTTTTACTTTCAGGATTCCCCCAATAATCTTATGATTTTATCCGGTATTCCCGAGAACTTTTCTCCATAATAGTCTCGGTGTTCTGTTCGGGAAATCTTAAGGAATTCTTTCCAGAAAGCTAGTGAAATCGACTCTTACTTTATCTTCGCATTTTTATTAATTCTCATGAGAAATCTTCCAACATTGCTTTGGATTTCACCTCTCATTTCTACGTGAAATTCCTTCAAAAATGAATTCTCTTGAAGCTACCTAGCTGAAATTCTGCCAAGAATATTTTGAGCTATACAATTAAGAATTCACTATTATCTATATTTGTTTCCAGCTCTCATCAAAATTTCCCTTTGATTCATTGATCAACATTTGACAGATTTTGAGCCGTAGGGATCAAAAAAAGGCGTAGATTTTGGATGATAGTCATGTAGTCTAGTTTGCGGTAGGGTTAATTAAAGGAGGCAGAGTTGCAATCGTTAAACAGCGATGATAGTAACGCTTTGTACATTCCTAACAATATGCTCGTCGAAGCTCTCTCCATGACCATCCATCAAGTTGACGAAAGAAGTAAAAAGTAACTGGTGAATGTCGTCTTCGGTAGTGATCCATCACCGATCTGGTCATTCCCGACAATCACGACACTCATATGTGCTCGTTTTTAAGCACTTGCTGCTTTGCTTGCTTATGTGAGTGTGTTGGTGAGTGAGCCCAACAGCTTCTAGTGTGTGCCGAGACGAACTTGGAATGCGCAGGCATTGTTTTCATTTTCTTCTGTCGTTTTGCTTTTTCTCATCATCGTACTGCAGAAGTATTCACTGTTTTCGTTGTGCTTTTCATCATAAGCAGCGAGTGTTACGTTTTGCCTGTGATCAGCGACCATTACTGGTGATTGTTGTTTCCCATGGCTCTACCTCTCATTGCGTGACAAAACGTTCTATCAGCGATAGTCGGTTGATGCATAGACGAGTATCACGTGAGTGTCATGAGATTTTGCATAACTGTAAGGAGGCTCTGAATTCCCTTAGATTGCTCCCTGAAACTCCCTTTGATATGCTTTAGAGTTCATTGGAATTCTTCTTATAATCCTCATAATAGGCTCTTCTACTTTACATTTCACCTTTCCTTCTCCTTACACTTTTCATGAGGTATTTCTCAAAATTTGAGTTGAAGTCAAAAATCTCGCAAAGTTCAAGAATGACTAAACTAGTGTAACATCAAACCCTTGATAATGTTGTCATGCAATCTTCTTTCACTTCTGTCGGAGTCGATTATTTCGAGCCCATACACATCAAGATAGCAAGCAGCCTGACTGCCGATTCCTGCCAATGCGCAGGTTCATCGACCGATGAGGAGTTCCGCAAAAGATAACAGATAACGGATATCTATTTGGTCAGAGTCTGCCGGGAGCAGTTCGTTCAAGGATCAACCCACCCTCAACGCCACGGATAAGTTAGCAGCATGGTCAAATTTTTGTTTTAAATCGTAAACTCAAAAACTATCTTTATTGTCACGTCATGAAGCCAGTGCAAAATCCATTCGAGCTACACTGAATTTTATCTGGATATAAGCAATAATTTGAAAAATTACATAATCACTACACCTTAGATACTAGAATATAATTTTCTAAAATCATCGCTGTCACTTCTTTTCCGGTTCCTTCCGCTGTTGCGCACCGCCAAAAGCAACCGCTTGTTCATCATATGGGTGGTGCGGCGGATAGTGCCCTCCCGGTGGATACTGTCCGGGTGGGTACTGTCCGGGTGGGTACTGTCCGGGTGGGTACTGGCCGGGTGGATACTGGCCGGGTGGATACTGCCCGGGTGGATACTGTCCAGGAGGATAGTGACCAGGCGGGTACGGTCCCGGGTAGTTTGGGTCATCCAACGGTGGTGGCATCAGGTGCGGTGGCGGATAGAGTCCCGGTGGATGAACTCCTCCCGGCGGATACTGCCCGGTGATTGGATCTGGACCAATCGGCCGATGGGGATACCTTGGATTCATATCCGGTGGGAAGACGGTGTGGGAAATTGGCCCCTCGTTCGGGTTGTGAGGTAGGTGTTGACCCTGCGGCGGGTAGTGTGACATCTCTCCGGGTTTGACGAAAGCGAACTAACTGAACGAACTGTGTAGCAGCAGGTGATATTTGATACCGCGATGGCAATCTTATCGATCGGGATTACTGTTGTTGTTCGATGAACTCATTTTTTGGTGGTTTATGCTTTGCTTTCTGCGAAAAGTCTTAGTCGACGTCTGATAAGCGAATGCTTGCAATGAAGTGATAAGAATCTGCTTGTGAGTAACCGCTTACTGACGTTTCCATACGTAAGCTACTGAAATTTCAACACCTAACTTCGAGTATTGACGTATAAGTTGAAAGAGTCTGCTCCCAACCTCTTGCGGAAATTGATATTAATTTGCTGTTTAAATCTTCCGACGTGCATTAATTACCAGCACAAAGCGAGCGTGAAGATGAAACTTCCATTCCCCCCAATATCAGTGTGAACCCAACTGCATGTAGCGCAACAGCCAAGAACAAGAGAAGATCGTCGTAAATATTTATCACCTTCAGATGAAGGAACTTACCTAAATACTACCGGCCTGCCGGTTGACCGGAGTATAGAGCACCGCTCAACCACCAGCCGACAAGGGCTTATTTCCGGCAAAACCGTATAGTTAATGAACGAGATTTATCTTTCCTTACTAGTTGGCGAATGAATCCCGTGTAGCCAGGCAGGTAGCCACCGCCGTGTAGGTTAGTATATTAGCAGCTTGAACAGAACGTATTCCTCCACCTCTACGCACACACGTTGGAATCCGGAATTCAGGCGCTGCAATGCTGCTGGCATCCTGTGGCTCCTCATTTGGTTACAATGAGAACGATGCGGTTCTGAGGGGGCCTTTTGCTCTCCCCTATTGTACGAATGGATGGCAATCGACGCAGTATGTAGGCAGCCATGTTGCAACCCTGCCTAATGATCCAGGAGGTGGTGGTGGTGGTGGTGGTGAATGGCACGCGATTAAATCTTTGGGATTTTGTGGTTTGTGACTTTGTGATTGTGCTACGGAGGGCTTCGAGAATAATGCTTCTTTATGGAGTTTGTAATCACCCGGAGATGCTGTTGGAAGTGTGGGAAGTTGGTTTGTTTCGATACATGGGTTTAACTTTGTGAGGTATTTGAACTTTGAGACTTCGACTTCAAGGTTGTGATTTTGAAGAAGTATTATCAACATTTCTTTATCTTTGCGAAAAACTAATGAGTAGGGATTCGCAGAATGCAAACTATTATGGATTAATCACTTGATATTTCAGGGTTTCGGCTACCTGGAAAAAGCTGGAAAATCAGGCAATTTAATTTTGGACCACAACAATCAGGGAATCTGAAGAATTTTTTTAATCCAGAGAAATTTTTCTCAATATTCTAGTCGCATATAATTTAATTTCTCGGTATAGTTTGAAGATGATTGTTAATCAATCAAATCTTGAATAGAGTTTAACATAGGGGTTGCTGTTGTATATAGCATTCTTATAAGTTTAGTTGGAAATTACTAAAACAAGATAGGCAATGTGATGATTTTAGGCTATATTGTCAATAAAAATCCAACTCTCACTAGTTTCACACGTTTCTGACTCTAACTGGGATCCAGAGAGTCAGTGATGACATCCAGTGGCGTAATGTAACCTCACTTTTTACCTGTGCACTAACTTTCAAAACCAGATTTGATGCCATATTTATACTTGAATCGGATGCAAAATGCGCATAATCTTCTAGTTTACTCGATATCTGTCCATTTCAAGCAATATTTTGATAATTGCTTATGTTTTGAGACTTAATGAAAACTTCACTTCAATTGATACAAAAGCATATGGAGGAGATTAATCTTTATTAGGTCTAAAAGAACCTAATCTCATCAATTCTCAATATGGCAAGGATTATTACATTATATAAATATAAATTCTTGCAGATTAACATATAGCTAAGATATATAGAGATGGTTGCAGTTTCTTTCACGCATCGGTATCAATCATAGTTACATCCCGGTTACAGCTTAAAATGATTTCCTGGCCTTTGCTATGTTGCTGGAATTAAAAAAAAAATAGTTTGTAGATATCTGGAATTTTTCTGAAGAATGACTGGAAAATCAGGGAATATCAGAGAGCTTGTTTTCCTTCATTGAGTCGATATTCATAAAGTATAAAACACGTCTTGGCTCCCACAGTGATCAGCTCACAGTTCTAGTTTCAACCGGTAAAACTCAATCCATCAATTCCAAAGAACAGGAAACGCTTAGATCTACAAAACCCGTTTAGTTCAATACGATTCCTACAAAGGAATAAACTCGTACATTTCACTTAACCACGTAACTCATTGATCGTATGATTCATTACCCTTTAGGCAATATTACTTCATCCAACGTTCACAAACCATTTGTTGCACCTTTATCTCTCGACTAATTCGTTTCTCCTGCCCTGAACTCGCCAGAATAGCCCAGGATACAACGATGCAGGCATCCATCCCATACGTCGCGTTCCACAGCACAGTTAGAAACCACTGCTGACAGACACGTGCTGCGGTTCGGTGCAGTCGTCACCATCACCGTGTTCCTTTTGTATTGTTCAAACTCAGCTCCCCGTAGGCTCTTTATCATTCCAATTAATCCGAACCCCGTCACAGACAGTTAATGGTAACCGCACTCCCAGTACAAGAAAAAAAACGAGTCAATAAAAATATTAACTCTAAACCACAAAACCCTCAACCGCATCCCATAAAAACCACACGAATCCATCATTCGCGGTGGTTGCCCTGCCATACAAGTTAGTTAATGGCCGTTGCCAATCTGTCTCAGTCCTTTTGATGGCCTGTAGCAGTAGCAACTGTTAACCCCCGTGTCAAACGCGGATGCGATCTGTAGCACCTGTCAAAGTGTGATGCTGTGATATCCGCCCGAGTGCTTGTGCCCTGGCGGGAGTTCAGCAGGTACTCCGTCTCATTAGAAAAATTTGCCAATCATTCGCCGTGTTTGGGTTCATACCAGGCGGCAGAGAGTGCCGGTAATAGGCAGCCAATGCGACGGAGGTGAGAGTTGCAATCTCGTATCTTTCCACTGGCATACGGTGCATCAAGGAGAGAGTGACTGCAAGGCAGTAAAAGAGAATGCACTTTCGTTTTACCTCATTTTTTTTTGTTTTCTGCTATAGGTTCCGTGCAGCTCCTGCTTACCTAATGATCGAATTTTAACTGTCCGGGTCGTCGAAGCTTTCATGCATAAAAAGTCATATGCAATGTGCGCACATATCCACTGACTGACTGACTGCCTATTTATTTCATTACTTATTCATTAATAAGAAAACAGCGCAGAAGGAGAGAAAGAAAAACTCCTCGCGTGGTCGATCGTCGTCGTCCGTCGATGACGAAACTATAAATCCGCATAAAAGGCGCATAAACGGTCTGTGTGGTATGTGTGTATGCATTACGACTATCCCGCGTTCAATTTTCGACCGATTAAGGTTTAAAGGGAAATTGTTGAAGCTCCACAAAAAAAGTGAAAAAAGGTATGGCATTTTCGCGTTTTTATTTGAGTATTTTAAGGAAATTTACGTTTCATTATTGCTATTTTGCGTTGTCAAACCATTTATAATGTTTTCAGGGACTTTTGGATAATTCAAGGCTATTTTCAAAGCTTTTGAGATCATTTTGGCATTTTAATACGATTGTGGTGTTTTTCGTAAATTATCAAGACTATTTTGGTGAGACGTTCCCAGAGGTAATAGTCTTTGCCACATATCTCAATCTCATTCAAAACTACAATTGATGCTATCTGAATGTTGGCATGTCCAGTGATCTACAGTGTCACTTAGAACCTTCTGATACTCTGTTTGGGTGACTTTTTGATGAACACGTAAGGATTTTTTCCAGTGTATGTTGTTCCAGTCCAAACCATAACAGAAGCTGATTGATGGCTCCTGTATACGGTTTAGCAATAAGCGATCTTGGATCGAAACACAAAAGATCGATTATTTTGGTTCGATTAATCGATTTTTTGAGTCGATCTCAAACAAGACAAAAATCGACTGGATCGATCCTTTTCATTCAATTTTTGTTTCGATCGAAATTTTTTTTTCAATTTTGCAATTTAATATTGATTTTTTATTTGTCTTCACCTTTGCACATCACTTGCCTTGAACATGGATTCTGAAATAACCAATGCACAGTGGTCCAGAATGCAGATTTAGGTGGAATGATATGTTTTGAGACTGAAATTGAAACTTTAGACTAAAAGTCTCTTCTACAAAGTTTTTCCTTATAGTTAGGCCCTTATTTTAATGACAATGAATTCTAGGGTGGTTCTTATTATCATTAAAATCACAAATCTAACTTTTTTGTTTGAATAAATTATGGTACACACTCTTCGGTAAAGTAATAGCTGAGCTAATTTCAAGCAACTTTGTTGAAAACATTTTTTTTGTATCTCTTAAATTGGCCGATTTAGAGCTATTTTCTTAAATTGAGTTAGGGTGGCGCTAAAAAAAGCAGTTATTTTGCTCTAGTTTTCTTATTTCAAATTTCTCAGTAAAGGTGTCTTGAAATGACTTTTAGACCTTTAGAAGGCGCAAATTTTTGCTGCAGAAAGCTTGTCAATATATTTCGCCGATCAAGAGTTATTGACGTTTTTATACTAAAAATATGCACTTTTCTAATGTTAATATCTCTGGTCGGGGCAAAAAAAAAAAGTTTTTTTGAATGCATTTGAAAGGGCGTATGTTATTCTGAATAATATGAAAAATTTTAGGTATGTTATTTTTTAAACTCGTATAAAATGAATTCGATTCAATATATTTTACTATATTTGGGTATATTTTTTATTAGAAAAGATACAGACAACAAATTTAGCTATAAAACATTCGTCTTAAAGAGTTTTAAAAGTTTTTAGAGGATGACTTTCATGAGAAATTTCAACAAATTTCAATTTTCAACAAAGTTGCTTGAAATTAGCTCAACTATAACTTTGCCGTAAAATGTATACCATAATTTAATCAAACAAAAAAGTTAGATTTTTGATTTTAATGATAATAAGAACCACCCTAGAATTCATTGTCATAAAAATGAGGGCCTTACTATAAGGAACAACTTTGTA